CAATCAGTCTGACCATACCAGCATATGTAGGAAGACGTACTACTGTGGTACTACTGTTAGGGCTACGCTCTTATGAGGCACTGGGTTGTTGTTGTTGGCGTCAGGCGCCGATGAGAGCGGAGTTTGGTCGGTCATAATGTGATGATGTACTTGAGCAAGATATACTCCTTAACAAGTATCGACGAGAGACTGCCAATTTGAATCGGTCAGACTTGGCTACAGTTTGAATGATTCAACAAAACAGTTGTGCAAATATATCACTACTACTACCACTTAGGTGATAAATAACATCCGATCAAGGTGATACGTAGGGAGCAACCAACTCAACGATCAGGGAATTCAAATGGACAGTTTAAGACCGGGTGTTATACAATTTCCATACTGGCAGTATGATACTCCTCGTAGGCCACAGGAAGCGTTGAGGAAATGCAAGATTGCAAGATGTCAAATCATTTGTACTTCAAAAAATTGGAGTTTTTTTCTGTCAAATGGCAACAGTCTACGGCAGTGCTACCCTCACATTGTTGCTCCTTCTTCCTTTTTCTGTTAAGGCCAGCTACAGTTGATAAACGTCGTTCCACCCATGGCTCGTATGATCTACGATGGCAAACTTGTATACACTGCTGTTAAAAAATATATTCGCTTCCCTCACTGCTGCTGGGCTCAAGACACCATCCTCACTAGTTATAGGAGTCTATATATACGAATTGGGAGAGTATACTAGAAGTGTATAGAAACTAAAAAACTTTTCCGAAATTTCCACAGAGTTTTCATATTGTCACCAACACATGAGGTTGGCCATGTTCAAATTTTACCACACTTCGTGTAAAATATAATTTCCACTCGAAAAAGCTTCGAAATTGCGGAGATAGCTCAGCGGGGAAAGGGGCTGATCTTCACTCGATAAGTAACCTTTTGGCATGACAATGGATTCACCAACTCGAGGGGGACCAGCAATAGGGATCCCACCTGCGACGTTACAAGCTGACAGAGTAATGTTAACCTCATGGATGTGATGATAGTGTCGATGCATTTCAGGCCAACGCTGTGGCTGCGGCGGCGACTCAGGCTGAAAAACAGAAGATCCATTTGCTTGGTATTAGCCGGTTGGTTGAAGCCACTTCGGGGAGTAGCTCATCGTGTTAGTGTTGGATTTGACCATTCCGGAGAAGCGGGAACAAGCCTTACTTGAGTTGTCCAAGAGGAGGGAATCCTTCCCTGACCTAGCCCCTATACTTTGGTATTCCTTTGGCACTGTGGCCGCACTATTACAGGTCCTATCATCAGCTCAATGGTTGTAATTAGTATCACTTCAGGAGCTGTTAGCGGTCTACCCTTGTTTGAGCCCACCCAATCTGTCGGCGGCAGTCTCGAACAGAGCATGCAACGCCCTAGCACTGCTGCAATGCTTGGCTAGTCATCCTGAGACTAGGAAGCCCTTCCTACAGGCCCACATTCCACTGTTCTTGTGATAATGGATGGTGTTCAAGTCGGTGTGGTATGGATTAACAGATACCCCTTCCTGAATACCGTATCCAAAGTTCGCCCATTCGAGTATCTCCGCTTGACGAGTTTGGGAGTCATCGGTGCTTTAGTTAAGGTGGATGATGAGCAGGTGGTGTAGCGAAAGGTCGTGGGTTCTATCCGAGGCTGCATCATTTTAGGTCGTACAATTCCTACTTCAAACCGAAATCATCCCCCTGTGCCTTCGTATAATGGAGACTGGATCAGAACTGTCCAGGGTAGTAGGGGAGGGTCGGTGCTCATGGCCCCGATTTGCAATTTCCAAATTACATCGCGATGAGCCTCAGACTGTGGCCACGTTCATCATACAGAAGATATTACTCGATGACAACGGACTGCAGTACATCTGCGCTACTGCCGAACGCTTCTACGCTGTTAGCACGGTCCTTGGCAACATGGTAGAGCATCAGTTGGCAAAGCAGCCGACACTGTGTCGTTAAACATCGAAGCACCCAGGTTCAATCCCTAGCGGAGGCACCGTCATCTCGTCTCCTTAAACACATTATACGTTGCTATCAACGACTCTCCGAAAACGATCGTGCGAGGGAGGCCTTGAGGTAATACCCGTTGTTGGTGAGTATCAACCGGAGTATGTCTTCCCATCGTTGCCTATTGAGCCCTTAGCGACTGATCAGTTTTAACTCAGACAATGTTTGCCCACCGAGTTGAAACTAGATAGAACTGCTAATAGCACTACGATCGCTAATTGTCTCAAGGAGGATGCTATGGCACGGAAGTGGCAGGTAGCAGTGATCCAAACTCCAATATTGTATTATTGGTCTTTCACCACAGGTTGGTTTGCTGGTCAACTTAGGAATGCTCCCGGCTAATTCACTTCAGGACCTCGTCAATGGGGGTAGCCAAGTGTAGTTGCTTTCTCATTCATCTTGTGTTAAGGCTCAGGTATTTGTCAATAGGCGGTAATTTTGGCACCGATATGTCATTTTGGATCACATAATATTGGTAGTAGTATACCGCACCGCCGTTGAGTCGTTATGACACGGCAGCGGCAGATGATCGATTTACAATCATTTACCTGTACAGAGAAGTTAGAATAGGAGATATACAACTCATCGTACATATAAACTTAGTCTCTGTACTCGGGGATATTTCTGCAGTTTAAGATGAGTTGTGTTGTGGTGAGATGTAACGAAATTCCAACATGTTGACAGAAACTTGTCGCTTCGAAAATTGAGCAGCGAAACGCGTTTGGCATGCTTCGTTGAGATTATGCGTATGTGACGGTAGCTTCCGGGTGGTTTCTCGCAGCGGTGACCTCAACTTTGAGAAACTACCCTCGATATTCCTCCTCGACCTTGTGACTACTCTTGCCTTTACTCATACGATTAATTGAATGGGGTTGATATCGCAGGATCTGGAAAAACGATTTGCTCGAAATGTGGTCATGGTAGACCACACATGTTCCAAATTAAGGCAATATTCTGCTGTAACCATCGGATCATGGCACATGATTCATGTGATATCGGGTGGCACAGATATTATCCGAAGTACAATGCTATCCTGAACTTTCAATTCATGATCGACGGTAGGAGGAGCCGAACCAACTAAGAGCGATCGAACGATGTGCTAGTAAGTACGAAAGCGATACATATCGCCCGATTAGTTCAGCTGGATAGAATGTCTGCCTACGGAGCAGATGGTCGTAGGTTCGAATCCTGCATCGGGTACTCTTTACGAGGCTTTGTAAGAACTCAGGCGAAAGTCTCTAATGTCTCACCAGTCTGCTGCTACACCTTGTAAGACGAATCCTTGCTGAACCAGCAGAGAATGTATGTGCGAACAAGTTGCTCGACTTGCATCTTTCTCAGAAATAGAAAATCGAATATGCTCACCTGTTTTAATGTGTGGGTTCCGTGTTAAACATCCACACTCGATGGCACGTGGGTCTGGAAACAAGCTGGGGTTTAAGACTTCAGCCTTGAACCCGGCTTGTCATGAAGAACTATGCTTTCTGAACTGTGACTAGCATTTGCAGACTTACAGGGGCTTTCGCTTGAAAGTTCCATTTCAGTTGCAGTGCAAAAAGTGTTAGTTCCTGTGCCGGGTGTGGTGGGATGGGTTGAAGAAAAGCTGAACAATGCGGTCCGTGCCCAAGCACGTCACACCGCTTTCTGAGTAGTTATCTTTGAGGTGAGTAGTACAAACGCACGCACGCGCATTGTGTCGAACATGGCGGGTGAGGTAAAGACGGAGCGACGTGCCACTCGTTTCCGGACTTTAACCCGGGATAACGAGTTATCCTCTATTAACGAAGTTCACTTAACGTGAGTTGGCGAAGGAATGGTACTACCACTCCAAGCGGTCTTATGAATAACACAATACACAGAGTATCGACGAAAAAGACTGAAACAGGAGTGACCAGCAAAGATAAGTCCGACTTGTCAAGTGGTGGAAAACAATGCTACGGCCAAAAAGTACTACGATAGTGATGCATATCCCGGGTCCTCACCAAATACCAAGTCCACATATGAACCCATACAAAAGAGCACCACGATGATGACAACCGCAGCCGGTAACAGAATGAAATGCCAGGATGGTAGTCTCGTAGACCGATGACAATCAGATAAACATTGCATAGCACATAAGTAAGAGCTATGCCAACCAGATACTTTCAGGAAGCATCCTAGACGGGTTAGACCGGCGTGCTGCTGCTACTGCTTGCCACGACCCACGAGAGGAAGCAAACACTGGCCCAAGGGATACACGACAGAGAGGGCATTGATGACGGAATCTCCCATGATGGGGTAAATGCTTAGTGTAACAGAGGTCAAAACATGCAAGGTGCATCATATGACCACAAGGTAGTTGCCTTACCTCCTCTTCCTTCTGCATCTCATCAATACATATGGGACACAGCGATTGTTCCTCTACTCCTCCTCCTGAATGCTGCCCATCAGAACTGAGACTTGAGACACGCCCCTTTTTGGTGTTATTCTCTGCCCATTTTGACCACTCTTTGACGAAGTTATGCTCGTCATCAGCATTACCAATGGTAGCCATTCTCGAGCTTCCATCACTCAATACACTATGAGCAGAAAAGGCTCGCCCTAAGCCGCGGGACTCAATGACGTAGGCATAAGCCAATATGATGATCGGCGGGGGTATAGCCAGGAAGGCTACGTAAATAATAATCTCGACTAAGTAATCCCGAGATGATGAAGTGTACAAAACGCCAAAGCCAAATGATGCCATACCGACGATCCAGAGTGCCCACAGCCACAGATAGGGCCGACTGAAGGCCCGTTGAAGAGTTCTTTGACGAACTTGATCTTCCATATAACCAACTCTGACAAATGGGATAATGACGATGACAACGAGGATAACACAACAGTATTTTCTAAGGGGCTCAGCGGTTGGGCCCAGCTCTACAAAAACAAAGGCTACAACATTTGAGTTTCAAATACCATAACGACTACGACAAAGACAAGGACGAGGACTTACCGAGACCATTCATAATAATCATCCCAGAATACTAATCAAATCACGTGACCATCAGCATCGCCTTAACATGCGACCATGAAGACAACGGAAGACTACCCCAGCCGAGCCTCTCTAACGTCTATAATTTATGAGAGGGCCTATCGGCTCACGACAAAGCGGACATTCATGTTGCCGTTTGGCACCTAGAGGGAAATGACCGTAGAAAAAGTGTTGGTAACATTCCTCATGCAATATGTGTCGACATGGCAACTCTCTGACAACATCATCGCTCTCGAACTCAGTCAGGCATATGCTACAACACTCGCCCTTCCCTGCTAGCTCGGGAGAAAGGGCTGATATTGCAACACGTCGAGTATATCGCGATGACCAAGTCTCCCATTGCTCAGAATATTGCCTTCTTGTTGAATCATCTAGATACGACCTTGTAGGGGAACTCATCGACATTCCGCTGTGCGGATCATATTCAGTCAAGTATGCATAAGAGATGATAAGCATTGGTGGCAATAACGCCATTGCACTCAAGTACATGGCGCTCTCCAGAGGACGACGATGAAGATGTGACGAAAGTGTGACTGCAATAAGAAGTGTCACGAAGCCTATGCCCCAGACACACCAGAGGTAACGATAGGGCCGGGAGGTCGATGCAGTTAGAGCTGTCTTCACATGGTTGATGAAGCTCATACTGATAACGAGAAGGCCAACTGCGAGAATTACGTCATGTCGCGCTATAAACACAAGTGGGGCGCTCACTGCTCTATAAACGCTCAAGTCCTTTATAAACGCTCAAGGCCTCTGTAAACGCTCAAGCCCTCTATAAACGCTCAAGGCCTCTATAAACGCTCAAGGCCTCTATAAACGCTGTGTTCTCCACTAAACGCCCAATACATCTATAAGACAATAAAGACCTCGTAAGCGTAGCCCACTAGAAACGCTCAAGGCCTCTAAAACGTTCAAGTACTCTATAAACGCTCAAGTCCTCTATAAACGCTCAAGTCCTCTATAAACGCTCAAGTCCTCTATAAACGCTCAAGGCCTCTATAAACGCTGTGTTCCCACTAAACCCAATACATCTATAGTAGACAATAAAAACCACTGGGCGTAGCCCACGAGACCGATACGGGTGAAAAGTGGAAGAAATACAAATATGTGAATGCTTCCTATAAGATGCGGAGAATTAACTACAACATGTGTTTCTTTTCCAACCTTCGGAATTTCGCATACACTCCGCTGCCCACCATAACAACAGCAGCCAAACATACGACAGCCAAGTAAACTGAACGAAAGAGACACTCAATACCTCCACCATCAACCACTTCATAATTTACACAATGTCGCGCCCTGACTTTCCAGTCGGTTTTTTATTTTCCCAGAAACCTCACTGAGAGATCCCTGAAATAGACATCAGTTCACCTACGAAGGAACTACAAAACTCACCAGCTTCCCCGCGTGTTCACTTAGTTCCTCCAGACTCCGTCTTCTCTCAAAATTAGATCTCATAGTCTGACAAAGCGAAACTACCTTCACCACGATAACGAGCTGACTACCTCTCTAGAAACTTTTATAAGTTCATCCCGCATAGATCGATAGTGTTCGGCCATGGTCCCGCCGTCAATCGACTCAACGGCCGTCTTCAGCTCATCCATCTCCTTCAGAAGATCTTCAATTCGAGTCTGCTCAAACGCGATACATAGGAATAAAGCTTTCAAAATGAAGTAAGGAAGAATCGAGCCGACGACCTTAGCCACTACAACATGCTATACCTCCCAACTTAACCGATAAACCATAGATAGTTCTCTCAGCTGTACTTCTCAATGGCTCCAACTCCATGATAACACGATAACTCGCCCTCACGACATTCTTAATCGCCTCTGCATGCCGACCATTGTCGTCACCTACATACAACATGGCACAACAAGTCGAAGCACGCTCAGGCCAAGTTAGTAGCCGCGTTATTGACTTCTGGCTTAGAACCCCGACAGAAACACACGATTCACGCCAAGTTGTCGAGGATCGAATCATAAGAACGAATTTGAACAACATTTCTCATCCGCAAAGATTGTATTCCATATCGGTTGTTAACTCAAACTGAAGAGAGCTACAGAGATCTAGTTCTGCCACTGTAACAAACCGTGTGAAGACAGACACACAAGGCACACCCTTGTGAGAATCCTTACCACGTTGGCCCTCAAAAAAATCATGTCGCTCTGACACCCTGTATGATTCGTAGTTGACCTTCTGTTCTTGCCCCCTAAACAAACAACAACAAGAAGAATGAGATATCATGCCAGCTCAGATCTCCCTCGCCCTACATCATCCTATCATCGTAATTCGTCACATGAAAATCGTATATGTTGATCAGATCTGAACGCTCCGAAGGTTGATTCGGCGTAGCGCCCACCATAGACGTCAACCCTATGTACCTGTTATCACCGACTCTGTCACATTTTGCTTGGCAATTTCTCACCCGCCAGGTCTCAGATGGTGTTTACTTTCACCGATCTTATATTCGATAAGCTTAACCCATCCTTGGTTCTGAACAACAACTGATCACCAATACAGCGTGGGAGTATATGCACATGGTCAACTACATGTGTTGGTAGAAATATGGGAACTGAGCGGAAACTTGGGGAAATAATATTGCCTTTTTGTGAACTTCTACCCAAAAGGCTGTGTGGATTTTCATAACGTAGTAAGGAAACTCTCGAGCTCAGTCGAGGAAATGAAATATGCATTCCCGCACTGCATCGGTAAGTTATGATTGCGACTGATAAAATAGCGTCACAGTCTGACACGTCATATGGATAACCACCCGGGTTCGAATCCCGGCGCGGGCTATTTACTTTACCAACGATCGCAGTTGCCTAAGAAATCTGCAGAATTCCGGGGCGCGAATTTCTCTAGTCTCTATAATTTTCGAAGATTTTTTTGAATGTGACCGTCTCACTCGAGTGTATGATACCTCATAACCATATTCAATCCTTAGTGAATTATCACACTGAAACACTCATGCGTTAGCGTGGAATTTAAAATTTACGAATTTGCCTAAGGAGAAAAAATACGTATACTCATTATTTCCCCGACAGCCGTGCAATGTAATCGTCTTACTTCCGCCTTAGCCTCCACTAACACATCATCAGACTTGAATCGAATCTTCACAGTTAACTTAGTATCTCGATAATTCCAATACGAGCCATGACCTATGCGACATACACTGTAGTAGTATCATAACAAACGACAGCACGCTCACCGGAAGGCAAATCTCTTCTCCTGTCGAACGTCTGAAAACCGTCGTTGATCAAGATTGACGCACTTGGCTTGAGTTCCATCTCTCCAGAGGAGGAGAATTTGTTATGGTAGAAAAACACACCAACTCCGTCAAAGTTGTTCTTATAGCCCATCATACCCATACCTGCCACGGTAAATTACTGCGCGGTAAAATGCCCGCGCCGGGATTCGAACCCGGGTGTCTACCCATATCATTCAACTTATCTGTTGTTCCGTCAGTGATATGAACTAAGTCACTGTACTTGGACGATGCATTCTCATAAACGTACCACACTGCGAACCCCTATAAAAAAAGTGAATCCTTGCAAAACCTCAGGCATCTCTCACCTGCTCATGCACGGGGTCACCTCCTATCGCTGGTGACTTCAATGCTAATGTAAACTCTATCTCAAAGTTGTTAGTGTGGAGGGGATACCTATAACACGATTGAAACGTGTCAAGCTTCGTATCCATCCGACTTATGCCACAGCGCGGCGTATCGATCGGAGGCTCTGGGCGAGAGCGCGATGTGGTTATGGAGTGGTATGCAAGTACCACTGGCATCCCATCTTGAAGTGAATTTATGGAAATCCATCTCCTGAAGTACGACAAATACTTCATAGAAATGCGAATATGATTCTCAACGAACTGAGCTCGAGCCAACAACGACGTCCCAGTAAATGAAAAATTCCACTAAAAACTTCTGGCCGCTACAACACGTTCACATTGGCACTAAACGATCAAGGAACCTATAATGTTTCCGGGGGTTACTCGTTTTAGACTTCCTACTTGGTTAGGAACACACTATAATCAGTTCCCGTGTAAATTCCACATTAGTAGCATTTCCCCCCGATTGTTATCAAACCCTGGGTAACGTAATTTCTCAAAACTGGATGGAGCTATGATGCATATACGTTTATGCGACATCTAGCATATGTTCCGGTTTGTATAGGTAAAACGGTGTGGGGGAATATGCATATGGTCAGCCACATATGTTGGTGAGAACATGGAAATTCTGAGAAAATTTCGGCATATTCTCATTGATTCCTATACATTTCTGCCCGAATCAGCATATAAACTCCTATAAACTCCTATAAACTCCTGAGAAAACTCTGCAAGGAGATTGGTAATAACTAAAGGCGACTCCCCTCAACGACCAACCCTATTCTGTCGAGGACTCAAATACAAACAATCCAATTCAAGTGCGACCGACCGTAAAAAGTCCCAACACGCAGAGAACAAACTTTTCACCATACGCCACAACACGAGTAATTAATACTTGCTAACCTTGAGGTCTAATCGTCTGGCACTCCGCTCACCTGTGTGAAGGAATGCAACTCCACCTTCCTCCCATCAGCAATAACGCTACCCAACAACGATCCGCAGAGCACAGCAATAGTCAGTGGCACTCCAGGGAAGAGCCTGTCGTGATGACGGTACATTGAACCCAAAAACTAATACTATACCGACAAAACCCATAAAGTGTTATGAGACTAACTCAAGATAGAGAGGACAACGATACTGTCATGATGATAAGGCATCTACTCTTGGTGACGTTGGGGCTCAACCGTAGGTCGTTATTATAGACAATCACTTACACTGTCGCATTGTAAGAGGTTACTCTCATTCCTCAGCTTATCGTTGTCGATCCAATAGGGCAAGAGTTGTATTCTCCCCCTTCCCAGCGGCTGAAAGGCAGCAGACACATAGCAGATTGTGCAAGCACGCACAAGCTCGTCAAGATACACTAACAAAGGTGGGAATTGATGCTTCCTCTACCCTGGACTGCCACTATGATCTCTGCCCCTTTATGTGAAGTCTCTGTTACCATCGCCTAACGAGATAAGAGGTAACCGTGAGTCTCGTTCCTCGTACCACTTCTAGCCGAGAAACTTGAGCATATCAGCCGACCGGCTGCCACGCCCTAGGGAATCCCAAGTATCCTGAGATGGGCATTGGAAACAACTCGTAGTGCCCCCTTTAGCGAAGGCATACTCTCTGGAGCCAGTCATTGCGCTATTGAGCCCTCCTCAGCCAATGTACACATCGAAGTGATTGAGCGAACACACTCACAAGGGGAACTCCAACCAAGTTGCGCTCGCGTACACGCAAGGCAACGAAAATGGCATAAAATGCACCGCTCCGCTCCGCTATACGATTGGGTTCAACTCACTTGGTGAAGTCAGCAGACTACAGCCTTTAGTGTACATCGATCGTTAACGCATTAGGCATATCGTGGCCTACCCAAATCTGAACCGATCCGATACACATAATCTTGGAATTAAACTCTCACTCTCCCATCACTAGATGATTGCTATTTCAACATATTAGGGGGGGATAGGAGATCTCGTTTCAGAGCCGAGCTCGAGTGTTGGTCACCGCTTCTTCACCCATCGTTCTCTACAGGGCAATGATCAGTTGAAAGCAGCTGAGTTGGGCTAACCTCGAGTTAGCTTGCGACACGAAACTAGACGCGATGGGCGTGGGCAGGTTGGATGTACATACAGGGAATTCATTTGGACTTCCGTGAAGTGTATCGTCTCACCTCGTACACATTAGCAGGTCATATCATTACGGCATATTTCAATTAGCCTCATAAATTCGCTCATGGTGAGGGGGAAACGGGTCGTTTATGGGGCTGAGGTATGTTGTAAGGCTCGGGACAGATATGAACCACCATCAGAATTTCTGATGCTCATATTAGCTAACACTAGTGAAGACGAACTCTTGATATACACTGATGAAAGACAGTAACTAGAAAAGGTGGTGACAATGCGGAGAACAGCGGCAAACTTATGAGCAGCCGCGCCGAGTGCTCTAGATTTACTATAGCACGCAAGTACAATGATCGCGCATGATGTCGCTACATGTAGCAAGCTGGTAAACGTTACTTGTGTGTAATGACAAATGATTGAACATTGCCGCTCATTTTATCTACCGCATAGTGTCAAATTGACCGTCACACGATCCTACGGTGTACTGAAGGAACTAGATACAGACTCGCAGATAAGCACGATCAGTGAGATGCGTGCGGCAAAAGCACACCCGCGTCACTGTGCATGCGTGCCGACTCGGCACTGCTGACTCAGCAGTGCTGAGCCGTCTCCTCAACTACATGCGAGAAGTGACCCGTGGCAGTAGTGTTACGTCAAACATTAAATGGATAGCGTCAAGAAGCTCTGGGAAGATGCTAAGGAGGTCTTCACTCCAAAGGAACCCACCGTTCAGGAGAAAGCCGCTGAAAAGGCCGATGAAGCCAATCAGGCCGCTAGAGGTATCTCCCAAATACAGGTGGTCAACGGGCACCCTTACTCTTGCTCAGATGCTGCAGAAACGATGAGAGAGAAGTCCAAGACAGCTGGCGATGCGATGAAGGATACTGTCACTGCAGGCGGCGAAACGCTGGGGCAAAAGGCCACGGCAGCTGGTCAAACGATGAAAGAGAAGGCTGCGGCAGGTGCCGACAAGATGGGTGGGATGGGCTTTTTCCCTCAGTATCAGACTCAAGGGTATCTCAGGTGGTGAAGGAACCGCTGATAAGATCTCTGATAAAGCTAATAAGGCGGCGGACAAGACTGTGGATGCTGTCAACACGGCTGCGGACAAGGTTGCGGATGCTGTCCACAGGGCCACCGAAGCTGTGACCAATCCGGACGACGAGAAAAAGCATCAGTCGGGATAATCTCATCCCAAGTTAGCAATTACGATTCGCAGTCAATTCCTGACAATATTTGCCACACATGTCGTTGTCAACAGTGAACCTATTTCATTCATTCGATGAATTTTCAATGAATGAAGATTCTTGTGTTAGTCACAGTTCGGAACTTAGACAAGATACGAATAGTGGCACCTGGTCAACACATTGATTGCATGCCGTGGTTCGTTCGAGCTGTATATCGCCTCCATTTATCACCCAAACTTCGGGGTAAGATGTATGCGTATCAGAATCTCTGAAAAATATGGGATGAGAATCACTAACTAAAGTCTCGATGAACTGAAATGTAACTATCGGTGTTGTATGCTGTAATCAGGCATTAGTTGAGCATTATGTCTCTGTAGCTGAGTAACTCTGTGTCCACCATTGCGATCTTTGCATTTCTACTCTTTTCTTTAGTGTAACTGAGAATGGTTACCCTTGCACTCTTGAAGTTATCTGTGCCCTTGAGCCATTAGCTATGCCCTTACACCGTTGCACGCATATACAAAGGCTTTTCTGCGCCTTGGATAAGCTTTAGTTGGGAGTCAACT